ATTTCAAGGATGACTAATACGCAAGTACAATAGAATTTTGTAAACCAGATACAATGTATAAAGGAAAGAAGTATATACCAGGAAGAGAAAGAAGTATATGCTAAAACAAAAACTGTTAAGTGGCGTAAAATCCTTAATCCGCAAGTACCCACAGTAGCACATTACAACAAAGAAACTTCTTATTTCTTACTGCTTTTACAATTAAACCAAATAAATAATTATATTTCTCAATAATTGGCGATAATTTTAAGTAAACAGGAATTATGTTTTATTATTAATTCGAAAACCAAATTCAAGTTTATTGTCCTGTAAAATTGAAAATTGAAAATGTTTTAATTGACTTTTGCTATGTGACTCATAAGCTTCTAATCGCGTTTAATCATCAGTATAATCCATTTCTAAACAGCGCCTCGGCACTACCATGTCATCAAACCAATTCCCGACGACATTAGGGACGAAACGTTGATTGTGATACGAAAGAATCTCTCTTAATTTGATTTCAAAAACACTTCCACGCAAATGGTCCCGATGCGCACGAAAAAGCAAATTAATGCTGCGCTGGGTCGTTTATTTGAATCCTTGGAGAACACGAAGTTTCCAGGAATCGTGACGCCCGAAGTCCACCTATTCCTTCAGGATGCGTCTGCGGAGAAATAAGAATTCCTGGATCCGAATCCCCCGATCCGAATATGACCGCGCTGGGAAATCTCGCGCAGCTCTGACGCGCGTCGCGAGAATCTGGCCAGTCGCCAAGAGCCGGTGCGTGCGCTCGCGGACGACTGCGGAGCATCTCAGAAGACTCGCCCGCCGCGCAGTGGGCCGCAATGTGTAAAATACAGCGAGTAACATGCTGCATTATAAAAATCGCTGTTTGTATAAGATCCCATTTTTGAGTCATGGGAAGTAATAATATGTTCGGCGGCGATGGTGTAACGGTTATCGTATCGGGCTGTTTATGCACAAGTTGGCGGGTTTCAACCCTGATCGAAGGGAGGCGAATCGCCGGCAGTGGGCCGCAATGCGTAAAATAAAGCAAGTAACACGTCGCATTAGAAGGAATATCGCCGCTGTGTAGGATTATCATTTTTGAGTCATGGGAAGTAATAATATGCGCGGCGGTGATGGTGTAACTGTTAGCGTATCGGACACTTGGCGGTTTCAAACCCCCGATCGAAGGGAGGCGAATTTAAGGGCAAAAAATCCTTCGTACGCCTTCCTTCGCAGAGGAAGTAATGCCGGCTGTCCATGTTAGAGATTTACTTGCATGTAAAGCTCTCATTCCTAAATGACGCCTCTGAGCTAAATTCAAATCGTCTGTTTCTCGCCCAAGAAATACCTCCTTTCTATTCTAGTTGGTGAAAGGAGCGTAGCGAAATTTGCGTGGTCAGACTAAAGAGCGTGCCTGATGGCCGCGAGTGTCGCCACGTAAAATAAAGCATCGATTCAATTCAATTCATATTATTAGAATGTGAAATACCTTTTTTAATAGTAAACATTTTATAAATTGTAGCTTACAATGCAGACCATATATGTCGTTCATGATGAACAACTTCCTTTGTGACCCATTGGCGATTTTTACATTTGATATCAATGATTCATAATTTGATTGTTCTTCAGTTTTGAGAAGAAAAATTCCAGAACAAAACTAGAAATTGTGGTCTTAAAATAGAAAACAAAAAAACTCCTAAATGACATATACATATATTTGATATAGAATATGACGTATGTGGTATTATGATAGGTTTTGTAAGGTGCTTTCAGAAAAAATATAGAATAAATATTAATACTATTATGTAGAAAGTGTAGAAATGCATAAAGTTAGCAACTGTACATTATTAACATCAGAAAGTGTTTTCATTCCTCCTGTATTTTTTTTATCCTAGGAAGTTTGCCTATCATGAACGACAATATTCATAAAACCGTGTCTCAGACTGCGAAATAAATTTTCTGTCACAGGTAAAACCTATATCCTGTAACATGAGTAAATGTAGATGTGTCAGTTTCCTTGTTCACCAATGATTTGACTTGGCGTGTACAATGTGAACATTTTTTTAACCATTGTAAGTATACCCCAAAATCTAGGCGTCTAGAAATATGGACAATACAATTACATTGGAGATTATTTTCAAATGAAGTTAAGAAATGATATGAAACAAATAAAATACATAAATGGAATACTAACAAATCATGAAAGTAAAGTCATAAAAAGAAATTTTTCAGAGGGGTTAGCATTAATTCCAAGTGAACGCCCATTAAGTTGCTCTATCAATCACTTAAAATGTTGACATTTGCCGTTTTCTATTTTGCAACTTTCTTCATTGCATCCTTATAACTAGACGTTTTGTGTCGTAAATTCCGTAATTGATTTCAAAATGGACGTTTCAAAGACAGACGTCACTTGTGCTGTCAGCTGTACTTATACTATATTGAGACATCGCATTTTACGATGTTATTGAAAACGTCGCTATTTTATCACATACCAAGATTTCGTGATCATATTTACTTGTTATTACGAAAAAAACTTCCGTTAAAAGATAGACGCACCCTTTCGAATTATATATTAACATTGAATATTACATCCGTCTACAACAACGATTATTACTTCTAATTTCAAGAGCAATTTTTACTAACATTTATTTTTAAGTCTATTTATTTTAGGAGTGTAGGGTACTGAGGGAAGAGCGAGAGGTAGACATAGAGGGTAATGGAGAGAGGAAAGAAGGGGGACGTCGGGGAGGAGAGATAGGGGGAAGGGAGGGAGGGATGGAGAGGGAGGAGGAGAGAGGGAGGAAGAGGGTGGGAGGCGGAGAGGGAGGCGGAGAGGGAGGCGGAGAGGGGAGGCGGAGAGGGAAGTGGAGGGAGACGGAGAGGGAGACGGAGAGGGAGACGGAGAGGGAGACGGAGAGGGAGACGGAGAGGGAGACGGAGAGGGAGACGGAGAGGGAGACGGAGAGGAGACATTATGACATAAAGGGAGAGGGTGGGAGGGCGGGAAAGGAAGAGAGGAGGACCACGTGCGCTCTTCTACATGTTCTGGCCCACTGCGCGCAGTTCTGTTTCGTCCGCACTGGCGGGGCGAGGCGGGGCAGGGTGATGCGGAGCGGGGCGGGGCGGGTGATCTGGGCGGCCTTGGAGGGCCTTCTGGGAAGAGCGCAGGATTCCCCCGCGTCGCAAGGGGACGAGGATGTGATCGCGGTGAACGCTGGGTGTGGGACGGCCGGCGGCGGAAGTGAGATGACCGCGACGGAGGCCCTTAGCGAAGATGATTGATTGTGATCGCGGCGGCGGTGACGTTTCATTAGTGTACGTCAACTGGTGTGTCACCGCGCGTCAATGGATCTCGAAACTTTTTAAGGCGCGACTTCTGCTCCGCGAGTTAATTACGCATTGAAAAGGCATGTAAGACCTATCTTTTATTTTATACCTTACTTCATACATATTCAATAAATATTTCAAATAATTTATATACACACATTCTCAAAATGATAGTCAGTCTCAACTTGTAAACCTTCACAATAAGCTTGTCAGTATATCGTCTTTCCAAGAATTTCTGTAATCGTACTAACTATCCATATTGCTGTTTACTAACTATCCAAATTGCTGTATCCATATTGCGTAAACAGCAATACGGATAGATACTTTACGTATACTCTTACTTATCTACTTTTACGTATCGTCTTACGTATCGAAATTTATATTCTATAGACTGAAAAACCACAGGCATTCAATATTTTTTGTGATAGTGAGATTTTGCTCATAGTGGAACGGTAGCGGTAGTGTAGACCACCACAATATCGCACCATTGAGAATGGCACCAATTACGACAGCGGTAGCGCGTGTTTAGTAGAAGTGGTTAAGACAGATTTAACGTTGTCTCTGACTGCTCTGGTCGTTAAACTTTTGGAAAGGGAGTTACGTGATTGTGAAAGGATAGAATATGATTTACAGTGATGTCGCGATTGCTCTCCAGACGCGTTCTTTAGGGGTTGACCATGGCGAGTTCTTCGGATGCGCGCAACATGTGG